ACTAAAACACATGTACTATGTGCTTTTCCTCGGTTTTCTCTAAAAAACAGAATTAGCACTTCTGGAAATTATGTACCCTTGCGTTTTCAAGATGATGAGGATGGCGCCAATATCACTTCCAATTACTCATTTATCAAAACCCTCGAGAAAAAGAAACCTCAGAATGAAAAGTCTGGCGCGCTCGCAAGGAAGCCCAAAGATCCTGGGCCTAAGCGTCTAAGAGCGCGTTCAGAGCGATCGCGCGATCGCGAAGTCTGAACGTGCTCTAAGACTGCGTTGATTGATGCCGCACTCAGGCTCTTTCAATAAACATTTCACAAAACCCAAAAACTTGAAAACACAGTAATGCACACTCATACCCACAACTTTTCCAGCCAATAACACGGTTACTAATGCACACTCATACCCACAACTTTTCCAGCCAATAACAGCGCTTACAATGTTCTACAGAAAAAAAAACCGTTTTTACTTAGTAATTCAGCGTCATTAAAACATGAAAATGACGGACTAACGGACATGCTTTCTATACACATATATCAAGATCCTATTTATGAAAATTACAACTCAAAAAGCTACAATAACAAAATCTACCATATCTATGGCCTGAAATGTAAAAGACGATTCAGCATAGTTAACAGAAGGTCAACATGTAACAAATGTATGTATAAAAAATCAACGAACTATAACAAGTAAGAACAACCTTAAACTATTTCTATAGTAGCGCCCGCCTTTTCAAGTGCAGCTTTCAACTCCTCTGCTTCAGCTTTACCCATGTCTTCCCTAACCACTACTGGCGCCGTTTCCACAAACTGTAATTGAGTACACTTTGATTTTTTACACCTATCAACGAGCAAGACAAACGAAACCAACCTTCTTCGCTTGCACGAGATTGAGACCAGAAATGGCCGAGCGAATTTCCTTGATAAGGGCGATCTTCTTGGCATCGTCAAACTTGGTCAACTTCACGCTGAATGTCATTTTCTGCGGAACGTCGGGTTCTGCTGAACCGGCTGCTTCTGCAATGAATGAAAAATTATGGGATGAGTCTTTGCCACACTTCTAAAATATGGAACGATCCAGCTCTCAGTTGAAAGCTAAGAGCCACTGGAATAGTGTTTTGTCTAAACAATGAACTGGGGTCAGTTTACAGGCTTCAGCCTCACCTCTAGCCCTTGAATTGCGCAGATGACTGCGGCTCGATAGCAAGCAAGCGAAAAGGCGACAGTATAATTTTCGCCAGCGAAATCCACAATTCTCATATTTTCTTGAGGTTTGTCCTAATCTAGTACAGACAAGCTGGTAGAGTCAAAAAGCGTACATAGGCTGAATCTTGAAAGTTTCAACAGTGATAAATACCGAAAGCCTGGGATCCCTTCTATATAAGTTCACGCATCCATGTCTTACTTAGCTACAGCCTTAGAACGCAAAGTATACCTTGATTCGCTGCGGGCGAAGGGGCGTGTCGAGCAGTGTCAGTGTGCATGGCGCCAAACCCGTTACCTGCCAGTTGCTGAAGCGAGTGTGCGACAACCACTGATAGAAAACGAGTGATACAGTCTTCTCAGCTGATTGCTTCGGAACTGGGAGAGAACGTTTGGCACCGCGCCAGACCCCGTCTGACAAGCCCATTCGTCCGCATCGAACTAGACTATAATCATATGACTGTAGCACTGCGATCGAGTAGTGTCCCGTACCTCAGATTGAAAGCAAGGACCAGCACGAGGCAACTCTCATGCTAACAGGTTTCCAGCCGTAAGGAATACGATCGGGTCAACTGCGAGGGTACCAAAGTTCTCTCAACACTTTTATCTCGGATCAGGTTTCAGACCTCCCCGATCATTTGGTGTCTATTCCAAGCTCGATCATCTTGCAATCTCTAGCCTGGGGTTTCAGTATGTTCAGTCTTTTTTTGAGCCTTCCAGATCGTTAGAACTTTAACCGGCTCATATTTATTTCGGCGTCTTCACTTTCTTCAGAGCCTGAACATTTGGAAGTGATCCACTTAAGAACCTGGTGAAGATAATTTCACTAGACTAGTAAACCTCCTAGATTTTCAGGCTCTGAAGAAGGCGAATAAGAGTATTCGCACTGATTCTATGTCTTGTAGTGAGCTCCGGTAGCGAACTGGTTATCACCGAACATTCTCGAAGTACAGACAGAACAGAGCTCTGTATAAAGAAGTAGATGAGCTATAAGAGGCTATCGAAAATACCTGCGGCAGGTGCTGGTGCTTGAGCAGCCATCATCATGCCAGCCGGCATCATCGGTTGGTCAGCGATATTGAGACGCTTTTTCAAGCGCCCGGTTGAGATCAGCCACCTATAAGAAGATAAAAAATCAACACGGAAACAAATTCACAAGGAAAAGCGTCTCAATATCGCTGAAATTTACATCGAGTAGACTGAGATTGGCTATTTCTTCAACAAGCGCCGCAACCTTCGGCGATGGAACGTGTTCTTCAGATGGAAGCGGTGCAGGCGCTCCTTCGGTGAGAGGTAATCCTGAAATTAAAACTGTCGAAAAGAGCACTAGCTTTTGCGCAGGTAATGCTTTCAAGAACAACGCAGTGATCCTGTACAAGGTTAGCTCTTAAATGGAATTTAGGAAAATTTGTTCTGTGAAATAATTGAATCTGAATGTTGAGTGGCTTGCCTTTGCATTTATGACGTGGCTTTTACAACCCTGCCGCAGCGACAAATTTCATTTGGGTAAAAAAATATCTTCAATAGAGTCCAGATTCGGTCTTCTCAAATCTTGCTATGAAATTTGAGTGCAATTTCTTTTGCTTTACTAGATTCTCTGCGGTCGTTTATTGCCTGATGTCTCGAACAAATCGCCGTTGTCAAAAGGCTGAGAGCTCTTCCTTGTAATCACCTCGGCCAGGGGCGTTCTCGGTTAGTCGCAATAGTTGCAATAAATCTTAGAAAAGGCCATGCACGGCTCTAAATAACCTCGGCATTGTGTCATTTGTACGATGCTTTGTAATCATCATTTCCTCTCAATCTAAGCCTCCATGGTTGTTGATTCAATTTTGTTGGCTTACGTTTCGGTAAGGTCGCCTTCTTCAGAGCATGGAAAGAACGAAGTAGTTGATGATTACCCAACTAAAACGTCTACCTTACCCTGCTGAAATATGAGACCAATGCAGATCCACGTAAGGCCCAAAAGGGTCACTCACTGTAACATAGTTCGCTCTCCTAGACCGATTACCTTTACGATTACATGAGGATCTGCATTGATCCCATTGTTCACTAGGGTATTGTGGAAGTTTGTTAGGGTAACATGAACTGCTTTTCCCTTACCAAGCTCCGATGAAAGCGATCTCGCCGAAACGTCAGCCAATAAAGCTAAATCAGCAACCTCTTAAGGAGCTGAAGTACAGCATATACAATCTTACAGCTGCGAAGAGGCAACACCACTGCTCGTGCTACACCTCTTGACATTTTGAGTAACTTAAAAATGTGCCACCAAGATTGCAGACATGGCACAGTACGCGCCGCACATCTCACAGCTCATGAACAGTAGAAAAGGTTCGCACGCGGACAAAGAAGCCTTTCTAGCACCGATGTCATCTCAGTGCAACACGATTTGAAAGGTGAATCAGAATCAACGCTGGTGCGATTCCTTCTAATAAGTGCTTACCGATCAGTATAGGCAGGTCTCTCTAACCCTTTCCTGCAGTCAATTACGAAACAGTAGCTGATAAGTAATTCTCCTACGAAGGAGAAAAAGCAAGAGGTTTCAAGGAACACCATAACAAGTTCGTTCGTGTTTGAAAACCATCCCTGCGGTCATTGTGCAACCCCTGGCTCACAAATCCCTTTATCACATATCCCAGTAGTGGATATCATCCAAAAAATGGAATGCGCAAAACAACAAATACACGGAAGTAAAACTCTTGAGAAGGAAAATATGTAAACTTTCAAAAACTCGGCGTCCGAGTTAAGGGTTACTGTAGCGTGCACCTTTTACTGAGCTTAGCGCGTGGAGCTTTTGCACCACAAAAATTGGGGCTCGTGATTTCTACGCGTTTTACCTTGCGAGATAGGATGAAGTTGACTGTATGTGTATTAATGAATAAAATGTAATAAAGGAAAGCAGAATTATTCACGGGCACGAGCGTGGTCAGTGAAAAGGACATGAAAGACAACAAATGCCCGCCTCCCCAACATAGGACAACTGAGCGACTCTCCGTCAGAGGGCATCTGCCAAGTTGAGGCGTCAATCGAGCGCGGCGTATAGAACTAGAATATATGAGGGCTTCGTAGCTGCTCCATCGCTCGCTGTGGAGTCGTGAGGTAGGATAGTTTCAGCTTGGAGCGGCCTTGTACTACTTGACAGGAGATGACCATGTACTATTTGATCGCGGGGGCTGTTAGGCCAGTTTCCACCCGTCTCACCAATATAAAACCATTGACATGCTGAGCATAGAAGGTGGGAGGCTACCTCGCGCTCTACACAATTTCCACTTTTCCGCATGTGCAGGTTGCACAGTTTTCCGTGGTGCACGTCTGCATAGGGCCTCTGCTAATCGACTCATACGTTGCCGTTTGGTGTATCTGACAGGGTGGCGTTGCAAACTAATCGTAAGTTCGCTCGTAAGAGATACTGACAAACAGATGCACCCATCTATTCCGATGTAAAAGGTAGTTGGAGATATAGCACTTTTTCCTTATGACCCTCTGGGGATGACCAAATGTATCAAGTTGATCCATAAGTAATGGCGTTTTTCCCTCGCTCGAAATATCGCACTAAAGATGAAAAGTTCTGCTACTGAGTTTCATACGGTTTGCAGAGAATTTCTTACTCTACTTGATAGTCTCCTTAGTTTTCTTGGAGTTCCTCTTTCCACTAATGTTTAGGTGTTCAAACTGGAGTACAACCTGGTCGACGAAATTGAGCATTTTCGACGCCTCTCTTTTTTCACCTAAAAAGCCAAAACTGTACAGGCATATTTGCTAAGTGTAATGACCAAGGGGCTATGCCTCTTAGGAACTGCTATTAAATTGATGCCAAGATTTCGCATTTCTATCGCAGACAATCTCAAACTTAATCTCTACTGAGTTCAAATGATGCCGTACTGAGTCAACGCTTATTCATAGGACTCATGCAGAGAATGAGAACTAGTTACAGTTCCAGATGCTTCCTCTATTTATCAAGCATCATCCCTCGGTTGATGTTAGAAGTTCGAAATAGTGGGTGGGTTCTGCAGGCAGTCGCTCCCCAAGAGGACCCCCAGGGGAAACACCCTTTCAAGGTCGGATCTCTTGATCACTTGAACCAACTTCGAGCTGTCGTAAGAAGTATCTTTTCTTGATCATATATATCACAAGTTTTGCGCTTCTTCTGTACTTTAATGCCTAGACGAAGTACAAAAACCTTGTTGTCAAAAACTCACATTTGTGCCGATCCGACACTCTATTTTTTAATGAAATAAAAATGGAAAGAAATCAAGAAGTAGTATAAAGGCAATAACACTATCTTATAGAGCGTAAGACTATCTATCGAACAGCCTTGAACGTACTGATCCTTACTTTTCATATGAAAATTTGTGTGAAAAACACGCCATTACTTATCGGCCAACTCAATAACTGTGTGTCCAGCATGTCGCTGTTCACCTGTCCCTACAAAATTCTGGAGCACGTAGGCTAATTTCCATGCGTTCGAAACTATCATCTGTGCTTTGAGTATTTCTTTTCCAATCCCAATATGTTGAATATCGATCAAGAATATATGGCGAGACGACAAAGGAGAATGATCTGCAGAGACCGTTCGTCATCGGTGAGGATAAGTCAACAACTTTCTACCCTTATGGGCACACAGTAATACTGGAACCTTCAATCACTTAGTAATCCGCAGACCGTGGGAAGTGGGGATATCCCCGCCTAATTCGATGATGCGCAGTTCGTCCATTTCTTAGAGAAAAATTTGGCCTTATTCATTACCTAATCAACTTGCTTTTCTCACAACAGCAAACATGACTGAACACTATTACCGCTGGCAAGTTGAAACACATCAATTGCTACTGGTAACATCCACCTAGATTTGGCCGCTGAGAAGTACCGCAGACCCGCACGAGCACTGCTAACGAAGGTAGGGCGAAACCTTGCCAGTACTGACATCTCGAAGAATTAAGAAGTGCACGCAAAACTGCGCAAGAAAAGAAAGCAAAGCCCTGAAAATTAGAGAGCACTGGGCGCCAAGGCGCAATGGAATGGCGCAAATCCGGTGCAGAGTTGGCGCATTTGACACTTCGCTGATCTTTTTCCTCTCGGTTTTGTCCACCTCGGCAGTAGTAAGTATTTCTTTTCACGTGTAGAATGTTGAAATTGAATTGGGTGTATGTATGAGGGCGAAATATGGAACTGACACTGAAATTAAGCTGTAGGCATCACAAACTGGCGGGTTAGAGACAATTTTGAGATGTGTCTGGGACTATTACTACTCCTAATGGTTATCTTTTCTTTCTTCTTTCTTAACGATCCTAATGTACCTCGAATGGTTGCGTAGGTCAAAATCGCCAGATTTTCATAACGATGATCTAATCTTTTGCGATCATAAGGTGTTCTGTTTCAACATGTTGTAGGAATAAACTGTACTGTTCTTCATAAAGTGTTTATTACCTTAACAATAGAAACAAAAAAACGTCATCAATCTGCTAGTCTACGCGCCCACTATCAAGTGATTTAGGTGGCGGATTGAGTTTTGGTTTGCTTCTTTTCACGTTGCCGAGATTTCTCATCTCTCGCAGGCGAGTTCGATGGGTTGGCACGTCGAATATTGCAGATTCCGCCCGATCATAGCAGCCGTATTGCCGCTGAAAATTGCGCGTGCAAAATGTCGTCCATGCGAGATTAATTGAATCAAACCACGTCATAAAGCCAGAGCGAACCTGCATAACTTTTATATCGGATTCGAATGTCATACTATGTTCATCATACTTTACCGTTACCTACCCTCGCCCATTTTCCCCCATATGGCATCCTGCTATAATTCATTCTTGAATGTCTTTTGTGAGTTCAGGGAGCCCCTTATATGATCTTTTCCTTCACCTAGTGGTCTTGGTTTTCTTTGTTTTGTTGACGCGATGGAACTGATGTCTCATTTATCTTACTTTTGACTTTTATTCATGGACATGGCACAGATTACTGCCAACGGAATGCTCTAATCCGATGTCCTTTGTTCACACGCCATTCAGCGCCTTAATAGTTTCAACGCTGAGACGTACTTTGTTTCCGCAAAGGATAACGAGCATATGATTAGCTAAAAACTATTGAAAAACTACTCGGAAATTACAGTAGAAATCACTGCTCCTCCTTTCCTCCATGGCTGCGTTCATACTTACGTCAGCGTCCATCAGCGTTTTGAGTATACGCCAGCGACTAGGAAAGTATAGATATCGATCTGGAAACGCCAGCGTCTACCAGTGTTTTCGCGGGCTCTTTTGAACTTGAACAAATTTCGATATCTGTATTTTTCTAGTTACTCGAGACACTACAAAAGTATGAACGCAGTTTTTGGGCTTCGAACATACTTTGCGACACTGGAGACAGGAGAATCGGGGACCAGGAGATTGCGCGCCACAGGAAACGTAAAGCTGATTTTGGGATCGAGAGCATAGGAGAAAAGGAATAGCACACTAAAGCAAAGCGTAATTATCGAATTGGCAGATGGGAAGAACAGGAAAATCGGGCAAGCGCTGATGAGGAAAATGTGCCCTAAAGGAGTTTCACGGGAATTAATCAATTTCTTCTTTCCGATTAGGATTCTTTTTTCCCCGATCCTCCCCGTTTCTCCTATTCTTCCACTTCGCGACCGGCCGGACTCGATCGATTCCCATGCATTCCTTTGACGCCCATTCTCCCAATTTGCTCCTTTTTTCCCCAAACTTGTTTCGCCAGATCGATACGTATGTTTTCCTTTGGAGTGAAATCTCCTGTTCTCCTCTTTAGTATCGCAAAGTGTGAACGCAGCCTTCCTGTTGAGCGAGGAAATCTCTTCCTGTTTTGCCCACGTCTGAGGTCGCGGGCAGGCAGAAACTGAACCTTTTCTTGATTATTCCTCAAATTTCATTAGTTGTCGATTTCACTGCTTATTTATTGTTGACTCGTTGAGGTTTTTCACCAATTCCAATAGCTTTTATATGCAAAGCGCTTCGACAACTTATACCTTCAGTTCATAAGAATTTTCAAACAATGTTTCGCTTTCGCTGGTTTTTTTTCACGCCGTCGCAAGTGTTTCCTTTGTGCCTGACGATGCGAGAATTAAGTTTTATTCTATTGCATACTTCACGAGGCGTCGACCAACATGAAGACTTATCGACTGGTAATCAATTTACGACAGAACTCCTTCGTTCGAGAGGTGTTGACGTAAACAAGACGTGACGTAGCGAAAAAGATTAACAATCCGCGTTTTGCGTGGGAGGAGATGGAAATTTGGAGACAAAACGATAACTAGAGTAGCCGCCTATCCCTTTCAGGTCTTTGAATTGAATCTGGTGAAGCTCTCCATCCTCCGGTATCTTTGAACATGAGTTGGCCGAAAATCATTCCAGATGATGAACGAATGACTGGTTTCGTAAGGCTGCATTCATACCTTTCGTCAGCGTCCACCAGCGTCTCGAGGGACTAGAGAAAAATAGGTACCGATGTAGCGAACGCCAGCGTTCAGCAGCGTTTTCGCAGGCATTCTTGAAGTTGAGCAAAACTGCCCGCGGAAACGCTAATGTACGCCGGTGGACGCTGGCGTTCACTAGATCGATACCTACACTTCTCTAGTCCCTCGATGCGTTGTTGCACGCTAGCGGACGGTGGCTGGATCGATATCTATATTTTTCTAGTCGCTGCCGCTGGCGTGCGCGCGAAACGATGACGCCATGTACTGTAAATACTTTTAAAGTACACTGCTCTTGTATTTTTTCTAGCTACACAAGTATTAGCGCTG